TATTTGTATTAAAATAGGATTGCAAATGAAGTAGCAAAAGAAACAGAGTTACAGAAGTCAGTTCAAATTTATACAAAACAATTTGATGAAACCTCCAATTTTTCCACTGGGCTAAAAAGAAAGGAAAAAAAAATGCACAAAACATTATTTTTAAAGGAGATGGCTGAACCTGCCTATATTTTCTTAAGGCTGCATTAGCTATGCCAATTAAAATTTTGTTTCTGAAGAAGAGTTAAGGCACTTCCTCTAGAGTTACTAAAAAAAGCAAATGAAAGCCTTGGCTTTGCAGAGGTGAGCGATAGTGAGCTGTTTGTTCTCGACCTCTGGATCACCCTACAGATCAAATTCTTGGACATAGGAAAAACCCACTAGTATTCATTAAAAGCAACTGGGAGGCCAGCTTTGTGCTTCTATTCTTGAGACCTGAACAAGCTACAACTCGACAAATGTGCAGGATATTGCTGAACAATGCTGCTGTTCCTGTCAGAAGGGAAGAACTTTATTCCCGGCCTCATTCAGGATAAATTGATTTTCATCACAATGATGCAAATCGCAGATTTCTGTCATTATTTAAATAATCGATTTTAATCTTCTACGTTTTTGTGCTTTTCAGTTGTTTCCATAAAGTTGATTCCGTTAACCACTAAAATGCATTCATTTATAGCAAATTAGCTCTTATATTAAACATTTTCTTCCCTCTAAAAAACAAATATATATGCTGAAAGTCTTGCTTCTTCAGTTTTAGTTTTCATTCTGCTAGATATGGTTGGAATTTGCCCATACATTTTAATAGCTAAAAATAATGTAAATGATTAGTTTATTAGATTGTTTTATACTTATGGCTTGTGACATTTTTGTGGAATTTTTATGGAGAACAGAATTTAAAATCCATAAATAAGCCTATTGCCCCATTACTCATGAAATTAACTACTATAAATTTATATGCACACAAAATAAAGCTCATCAGAATACTTTTTCATTTCAACTATTTTTGTCTTTCAAAACAAACCACAAAAGCTACCTATAGAGCTGAACAGCAGACCAAAATAAAACAGAGAAAAATATTCTCCCTGAACAATTGCTTCTGTCAAAACGTGGTTTAAACAAATTCTGGCTCCAGTTAACTGCAGTTCTCTGGTGGTTTGAATGCTTTTAAAGCTTCATTAGGAAACAGACATTACTAGAATATTTGTATTCAAATGTCTATAGCACACTATAGTAAATTCAGTCCTTAGCACGATTAACAAATTCAAATATAATTTAAAAAAAAAAAACACACGCATTTTAAAATAACATTTGAATTTAAATAAAATGTATACGTATTCACTTATAAATATTCAACACCTGAAGTTGCACTAAAAACAGACTGTCTCTCCTTACCCTTTTACAGACATACCAGCATGAGTTACGCTTACATATACTTCACAAAGGGAGTTATAAGATTTAAAAATTCATATATCTATTACTGTTTGTATTTTCTGTCCTGTTCAATAAATAGCCTCAATCTCAAATTTCCAAAGGAGAAAATGTTTCCACTGGAATCATTAACAGTTTTGACTGCATTAAGTATCAATTATTTTCCCACCAAACAAGCCAGGTTCATAGGGCAAAGTGAGAAGGAAGAGAAAAGAGAGACATATTATTTGTGGATTGTTATCTATAGACCAAATGGAAAATCTTCAGCCATTTTGCTCCTTCAAGGTACATCAAAGAATCTCCTATTTAAGGTGTGAGAATGTCAGTTACATTTTCCACCTCTGAAAATGAGCAAAGCTCCGAACATGATTCATGTCCCACCCTTGCTCTTTTCTCTTTTAGGAGCTGATACTCTTGTTTTCAACTCCCCTCCAGCTAGTGCCATTTAATACTCTCAAAACCATCAGGCTAAATTCAAATTTTCTGCTCCTTAGAGGCTGTTGATATGCACCACCGCACATTCCAATTGCAAATACACATGAATGCTCCCGTGTATTGTAAGTTATTTTCTACATACAAATTCTACTAAATTGTAAGTTAGGAGGCACTACTTGAATTCTCTTAGGTCTTTAGAAAGCTTTCAGATGTACCATAAGTAATAACATGTAATGAATATGGACTGATATTTTTTTCTGTAGTTACACTGAGTTGGCAATTTACATTTTCTAAATAGATAGATGACTTATAGCCAGTTTTCCCAGTATTGTGGCAATTACTACTTAGAAACCTCTGACAGACTGAAACCTCCAGAATCACAGCTGTTATTCTTGGTTTGATCCCTCTTTTTAAATTAAAACCAGTAGCTTTATCAGCAAATGAGAATTTTTTCCCTCTGGAAATACTTGCAAAAATGCACATAAATTGAACATGCCAACTTATCTCATTTTAGGGTTGGAGCATCTTCTGGGTTAATGACCAGTGTTCCACATCTGTGACAGAACTAATTGGGGTAAGGAGGCCATAAATACATAACAAGACCCCCACAAATTCTCTTCCTTTGGGGTAATCTGAAGATTATAGTAGTAAAGTGATATGTGATTGGAGGGGAAAGAGGAAAAATTAAAAAGTGCTAACAGGCTTGTCTGATCATTCTGTTTCAGTTTCCAGGCACAGAACAGATTTGGAACAGATTTTTCTAGTATCTGATATGATTTTTCCTTCCTCTAACAGATGAACTAAAATGCAGAAACTAGCTGAACTTTCACATCTTCCAGGAACTGTCATTGTTTAAATAAAAAAAAAAAAAACCAAAAAAAAAAAACACAACAGAGAGAAAAGACGACACCACATCTCTATGCTCTGAACACAGACTAGCTGATCTAAAAAGCTGTTTTCAAAATGATAGCCTCAGCTCCACATCAACAGTTGCTCAAAACACGCGCGACAACAGTTTTTCACAGCTGAACATAAACGAAACATCCTTCAATAGAGAGAAGTTGGCACTTGGCTGGAGCTCAGCATTCCTTTCTAGCAAACTTGCTTCATTTCCCATTGATCACTAATGGGGAAAATCCAGTTACCAATGGATTACAAGGAGGAATAATTAAGATTTGTCTTCCATGAGTAGGTCAGAACACATATGCTGTTCACTTGTTACTGTTAAAACAACTCAGTTCCTTGATATGGCGTCCCTTAATATTCCAGAACAAACATTCTAAATCTACGTGTATACCCGTAAAATGAAAGAATTCTAAGTGCATCTGGAAACAAAAGGATAACAGATTGCCATATGGCTTCAGGAAGCAAAAGAGGGGGGAAAGATCACTGCATTTTGCCAGTACATATAAATGTAAATGTAAGGGCATATCACATGGTTCTCCATTTCAGAATACCAACCTCTCTCTCTCTCCCAGACCTGGATTCTATGTTCTCTAGATCCTTCCAGCAGCTCTGTAGTAAACAGAGTTCAGGTAAATCTGCCCCAAGTAAATCTGAAAAGATGCCTACACTTCATAATCTTTGCATGTCTGCAGAATATAAGCACTCTGAGACATACATACGAAGGACGTTGAACACAATCTTAATCTTAGCAGCTAACCTTCCAGCGCACCCAGCTGCTCACCTTGCAGCAAAAGTCTCAAATCCACCTCATACTACCCAAGGCCTTACATGCCCTGTCTTCTTCTGTGTGTTATTTGCTGCTATTACTAAAAAAATTACTTTGAAATGTCTTTAAGAGATGATTCCTAACTTGAATTAAGATCATCTTTCCCAATTAGCTGACACTGCAGGAATTAGAGTACTTAGTTTTTAGCTAAGCAACGTCAGGCTAATTTAAACTACTAGCTAAAGGCTATGACTTAAATTAAAAAAATTAGTAGCTTAAGTCAAGAATGTGAGATACAGAGCTAGATCACAGTTTCCTAGCCAGCATTAACGTGCACAATATGACAAAAAAAAAAACATTGTCAGAAGCATCAATGTGTATGGCGTTGTATGAATCGCCAAGGCCTGAGGGACAAACAGTCAACAGAGAGAGATCGCATTAACGTGCACAATATGACAAAAAAAAACATTGTCAGAAGCATCAATATGTATGGCATTGTATGAATCGCCAAGGCCTGAGGGCCAAACAGTCAACAGAGAGAGACAAGATGAAGGGGAAAATTTCTAATGTCTGTATAGGTTTGCCCCATTCTTTGGTTCAACCCCTGTCATTCCCCCTTCCTCTTCTACTTTCACCTTTAGAACAAGCCTGACATGTAAAACATAAGTTAAAAGCTTATAATAAACCCTTCTTATAGGTGTGCATAAATTAGCATCTAAGTACTCCAGCTGACAATTGAGAACAAGTAGAATTAACGATTATCACCATCACTGAAGTTCAGGTTGCTGGTAGAGCCTGAAAGGATTGTGGCTGTTGTTAGCATGAGAATTTAGAACAAGTTCTACCCAAGACTCTACACAGAGATATGAGGCATCACAATTAGACAACATGTAGAAAAAACAAGGAAGAGTCTCTTTAGAACAAAACTGGACAGCAATTTTTCCTGCGTATGCTTGTCACGGGGGTGGAATAATATCAAAACTGGCTTGAAATTTCATTATTGCACAACTTTACAAGCAAAAGAAAACAATGCCTAGAACCGATCAGAAATAACACTTGAAGCACCTGCTGCCTGGTACCTTGTGTGCTGTGTGGGTGTTAAATGCTACCATACTAATCTATTAGCACAGCAGACATAAATACCTAAACAGCACACAGGATAATGGAGCGTCCCTCATACATACTAAGATGCTGCTGCAGTTAATCCACAAGCATGGAGCGGATATTGAGTCCACAATTTTTAAAGTGCATTCAGCAGGCAGAATAATTACAATTCCTTTTGTCTTATTTCACACACATGGCTAAATACAGCCTATTTATCCACAAAAAAAACGTGGCAATTGTTTCAGGGTGGTTTACAGCTAAGTTTGATACTGTTTTGCAGGGCACTATAACAAAGCAGCTTCATGCATTTTCAACAGGAAAGATTCCTGCCGTGGCTCAAGAAATAAACAGCAAAGAAAGTTTAAATTGAGACTTACCACGGGGCACCGTATATTCGGAATCCTTTAACTGTTACCTCTGAATCTTGTAAGTAAATACTATTTGTCAGGAGTGACTGAACATTGTCAAAGTCCTCTGGTTTCAATTTGGACACAGAGGGAAAGCGGTAGTAATCTTGTTTAACAAGGTCTGCCATGAATTCCTTATCAAATGTCAGTTCATGATTCCCAGCAATCACTATTTTATATTCATATGGTAGGTTTCCTGAAATAACAAAAAAAGAGGACTTAATTAGCACATTTTCCTCCCACACCAGCATTGCCGGCACAATACGCAGACAGCTAGCAGTGACAGAATGAAATACCCAAGATCTGTGTGCCTCTCCGTGTTGAGCAGAAGTTATTAATGCTGCTTCTCTTCCATTGAATGAAATAGCATTAAAATGTAAAGCAATGTCACACAAAACAATGTCATAATAAAAAGTGTGTGCTGCAGAGTAAAACAAAACAAGCTGGTAGGCACCAAACCTCCAAAGGTGGCATAAACTGCCACTGCTCCCTTGCTTTCAACTGATGACACGCTGATTTAGAGTAGCCTAAGACGTGATGCTGAGGTTCTACCACTTAATTCGTGGGTCTGGGTCAAAGTCAGCAGTCCTGAATCCCAATCCACAGGAGGGACCTGCAGTGAGATAGCTCAGGTGTCTGAGCAGGTGGGTAGACCAGAGCCTGCACTATGCCTCACAAGTATGTCCTGAGGGTACCAGGCACAGGGTACTGAATTAGGCTGCTGCTGGTGGTGTTCTTTAAATTATGCCATTATTGGGATTAATTTGTGTTCAAGTGGCACTTATTCCAAACCTAGCCTGTTCTTCAAAGCTTCAACTAACTTGCAAGGACTTTCCCTTTATTATTATTATGTATTTTACGGTAGTATCTCATTTCTGTAAGAAGTACACATGTAGAAGAGTCATGAAACTCAGACAAATAAGATTTAAGTAGGGAAAAGGAAATGTGGTTAATTCATTTACATAGAAGGTCAGAGAGAAACAATACAGGCTTGATTACCCCAGTTCAGGGCAACTATTCCCATTGTTTAAAAGGAGGGATGGATCAAGGCCATGGAGTTCAGAAACAGATTTTCAAGTACTTGGCACCAACAATCAGTGCCAAATCTTCCAAATAAACATACTGGGTGCTGAGCTCCCTTAAAAATATGGTCCTATAGAGTGATGTCTTCACAGAAGTTAGGTTCTTTTACAAAATCTGTCCCACTGTGACTTGCCAAAAGTCATACGTAAATTTGCATCAAAGCTAAATTCTACTGCCTTCACCATATGCCTGATTTCCTAGTCTTATACCAAACCACTCATTTTGGTGTTTACTCCCAATAATCATTTAGAAAAGATTGGTTTTGTTGTGATGTTGTTTGGGTTTTTTTTCATAAAGGCAAGCAAAATGTACGTGGAAATCTAAGCGTCCATCTTCCAGTTCTGGTACTCCCAACTCTGCCTCAAGGAATGCAAAATCGGATGCTATGTATCTCTTGTGAATACAGTTCTCCTAAATAGATGTGGCTTTGCTAGTTTAAAACTTGTCTTTCAACTTTCAAAACTGTTTGGATTTGTGGTTTTGTTAAAAAGTAAGTTTCAAAGTAAAGCTGTAAGCATTTACAACAAGATTAACTTTCCCCTAAATAAGACCTATGGGGAACTAGTCGAAACCCTCTGCTTTTTGATATTTACAGCATGGAAACAGGAATTACACAAGATATGTACATAAACATCATCTTTGCAAAATTAGTTAATTCTGGACAGAAACCCAAACAGCTACAAATCCCCTGGAAAAACAAGCAGACCTCTTCATAAACACCTAAAATCTGAACAAAATGCAGATCATGCATATTCATAACTCTCTGCAGTCCTGCATTAGATTAAAAGCTGGGGGAGATGCAATAAATGCTCCTCTGCAGTTTATGGCTCACTCCTTTCCCTCTTCCTTCCTCATCTCTGCAACATGCTGCTCTGCAATTCACTATTATTTAAAAACTCAATGTGGCAGGTACCTACAATTCCTTCTCTCTATGACTCCGGGGCACAAGGTAAAATTGCTATTTTCTCCTCTCTCAGGAAACATAAAAGATACCACCAGCATGAAATTTGATACACTTGTCATAACTATCAATCCCCCAAAACAAGCTAGATGTGATAAAATTCTTGGAGAAGTAGGATGGAAAAGCTAAATTCAGGTTTCTGCCAAGTTACCAATGTTTGCCAGTTTTAGCAGAGAAAACTTCTCATCTTACTCGATAAATGTCCAAGTTTTACACTTTCTCCCATTTACTTTGATAGACGCAAAAACCAGGGCATTTTGCTGGTATTATGTCCAATTAAGTCTGGGACGTTTTTGCTTGAAGTCAATGGGTTTTTATCTTGACATCTTGAAAAAGAGGGCTTACTTTTAAGACACACAGGACACAAAAAGACAAACCAATGGTGGCATCAGCGATTATTAAAACACATAAATGTAACATTATACACGTTACATAAGCACCTGAATCAGTAGGGAAAACCAAACAGCATTTACTGCGACTGGTGTCAATACAATCAAGCCATTGATTTTGAGGAGAGGCTCTGCTTGGTCAGTTCTTGAGAGCCAGGAAGGCATCAGGGAGAGAAGAGCCTGTCCCCAGTGCCACCAGGCAGCTCAGGACATGGCCCCACCAGTGAAACCTAAGGACCAACACCAAGACCGAGGAATAAGGCAAAACAGGCCCTGGAGAAGAAATCTCATGGAGACCAGAGTTCATCAGCACCTACCCGTAAGCTCCAGCTTAGCGGTACTGCCCACCCATAGCCTGTGAGCCGGAGCGTAACCAGAGCTGGCTGACGATGTAGCAGCTGCACACCCAGGTCCCCCATCCAGCAACAAGACATCGGGATGTGCTTCACTCTTTATTTGTACATACTTTAATGTTTACCACAGGATGGGCCCCAAGGTCTGACCTGGCTCCCCACCTAGTTCCCTGACTTTATAGCCAGTCACATTTTGCTTTCCTTTTCCGGAGCCGGCCCAGGAGCTGGCGATGAGCAACACCACTCATCCAAATGCAAATGCATCAAAAGCCCAGCCCAAGCAAAGGTGAGCAGCAAGAGGAAGTCTCATCCATTTCTCTCCTCTTCCCTGAGGAAAGACCATATAGCACTAATCACCATACTAAATTACCTGCAATCAGATTAGCTATTTATTCATCACATTCGGGTTTTCCCTTCCTGAAAGGCCCTGTGCCAGTGCACAACGTTCATTCTCTCTGATACAATTTATGCAATATTTTGGCGTGTTTTCTTTTGGCAGTCTTGTCCTTGGTCTATAATCTGCTGATCTTCTATGTTTAACACGAAACATAAACAGTCACACAAAAGTCTCCTACTCCGTGTATTTTAGTTTATCTTGACCAGATTAATCTCTGCGTATCTACATCCGTGTTCTCTGTACAGAGAGACACTGTAGCACAATATACAGGTTAAAAGGCACTTCCTCATTTTCTTTCACTAAATTGGTTAGCTATGTTTGGTTTTCATCAGTCTAATTTCCTAACTATTAAATTTTCCATCGTGTATCAGTAACATTATTCATCCTAATTTATACTGTGAATATGGAAAACAGATAATCACTTTTCAAACTAGGAAAAGTTTGATTTGTTTGCTGGGATGAGCACTTCAGAAATCCCAATTATCAACTCCCAGAGTAATAACCGAGTTTAAATTAAAAACACTTAAATGTGTAACAGATGAGACCAAAAGGCTAAAATTACAGCTACTAAAAATGATTAGGGCATCAAGTCTGTGAAGTAGAGTCACTTATACTTGAATATTTGAAATCCTACATATTTATGTGTCTATACACACACAGAGTATGTGTGTATATTCAATATATATTAATATTATTTTGGTTAAGATGTGTTTAAACATCTGCCTTCAATAGTAGAAGCAAGGGCACAAGGTAATCATTGATCAAGAAAATATTGCAATTAGACATATTGTTCTCCTCAGGAAGACAAAAGGTCAGTATCACTCTTGGTCAAATAAAAGCAGATAGTTAAGTGTGAATAACTTGTAAAAACAGAATTGTTTATAGTAAATATATTAATCTGAGAGTCTCAGAAGATTTCTGTGACTTCTTATTTAACAAGCCAACCCCCGAGCATTCATCCTTGTTCGTGTGCCACTACATCTGTTTGCCAACACAAGGACTTGGTGGCCACAGAGCACAGTGGATCAGGAAACTGATCCAGCTGAAAACCGATGAGGCAAAAAAGGAATGTGGCTCTATGAATGCTGGCAAGGTAGGACTTCTTTTCCTGGCTGCAACCACTTACATCACTTTAAAGCATAAGCTGAACAACAGACTGACTTTAGTTACACCTATTACGTGGGACGGGGGGGTGGGGAAGCTGGGAGGTGGGGAGTTGTTTGTTTTTTTATTTTTAACCTATGTAGAAGGCGTTCCAGTGTTTTTTAAATTCATTTTAAGTACTCAATCCTAGGAGTCCATAATCCGTTGAACAACTGTTCCCATTTTAATGGCATGCTTCATATGAGTACAATTTAGTCACACAACCCAAGTTCTGTAGGGCTGCCAGACATGAAAAGGAGTCTGACTGGCAACAAACGTTAACTGCCGAGTCCCTGTAAAAATAGAAAATCACATTATTTTTTGACTACTGTTACCTACAAAACCCACAGGGAAGTAGGAGAATCAGAAATAATGTGATACTAGCTGCCTATATAGCGGTAGAAACCTGTATTTACACACAAACGCTAGGCAAGTGCTTTTGATGTGAAGCTCTGAATACGCACACGCATGCATTAACTATTAAAATCACACAACACTTCCACGATATGTGAAGCGTTTTCATGCCCATTTCATAGCCTCATAGACCCTTTGGCCATATGCTGAGAAATGGGCTGAGAAACCTTGAAGTACAAATCTTAGTCCCTTCAAAAAGAAGAGAAATCTGTACAAGTGAGATGCCTGTGCAAGCGAATCATCTCGAATTTATGGTACATCATACATGCTTCAAAAAGTACAAAACTGGTCATGGAGCATTCACCTATAACCAACCACAAACAGGTCCAAGGACAAACACTGAAGGAGCAGATTTTGTGTCATTCCTATGCACTTCCAGTCTCTGCAGCAGGTTGCTATCAGTTGTCTAGCCATAGCTGGCCACGCATGGGCAGCAAGCAAAGGTGACCAGCAGAA